CCCCGCAGGGCGGAAACTCAGCCTGCTTCTCTCTTAGGGCCTCGATGCCCTTCACGCCTTTCCCGGCGCACCCGGGCCCCGGGCTGGGTGTGCCGACGGCTGGGAAGCGCCGGGAGAGGGCGGCCAGAGGAGGCCTGGCCGGGCCGGGCCGGGCCGGAGCCTGTGGGGGGTGGCGGCCGTGCTGGGGGAGGCGGGACCAGGGGTTCTGCTGGGGAGCGGGAGAAGGGGCCCAAGGGGAGGGGCGCAGGGGCAGCTGAGCCCCAGAGCTGACCTCGGGTCCTGTTGCCCTCTGAGGGGCTCAGCCTCCTGGGGCGCCCTGGGCCAAGAGCCTGTGCTGGCCGAGCGGAGGCGGAGGAGTGGGGTGCCATGAGCCCCCCGAGAAGCCCTGTGAGAAAGGGAGTCCCTGCTGGAGGTGACCTGAACGGCGGGGCCTGGGAAATGGGCGGGCAGAGGGCGCCGGGCTGGGCAGCCTGGAGGGCTCTGTGGGGCGCCCGCCCCTCCTCAGAAGCTGCTGGCTGCTGCCCCGGCCACCCCTGGGCCTGCTGTCCAGGGCTGTGCAGGGCTGCCGTGCTCCGGCCACGCTGCAGCGCCGTGGGACGGCCGCGCTGAAGGCGCCTCAGCCGGAGCCCCGCAGGGCTGTCTCCCAGGAAAGCCGGGAAGTGGCCAGGCCCGGCCTCCAGCCTCGGCCGTGGGGGTCTCTGGGCCACGTGCGGTCTGGCTTCAGGGAGCCCTCGGGAGCCGGGCCTGGCCACTGGCCCTGGGGCGCCCGGCGTCAGCGCTGCGCTGCCGTGGGAGCTGCGCCTGGGCCGGCCGGCAGCAGCTGCAGGGAGGCAGAGCCTGCCCTCTGCGTGGCTCTGTGGCCCCAACACGCCCCTGTGCTCGGGTCAGGCCGTTCTGTGACTGCCCATCTTGGCCACGCAGCTTGCTGGATCCGTGAGAGCCCACACGGTCATGTGTGCCAACGGCCCTGGGCCGGCCGGGCAGCATCTGTGCCCTGGCCAGTGCCCCAGGGAAGCTTCGCGGCTCCTGCGGGAGTGTCCAGAGCCAGGAGCAGGTAACCGTGACGTGTGTGCCTGGACAAGGCCACTGGGAGGCCTGGCCACGGCACCCGCACACCCGCCCACTGTGTGGGCAGGGTGGACACTGGCCCCAGCAGCACCGCCATGGCCCCGTCCTGTGTGTTTCTCCCGTGGACACCAATCCTTGGGTGAAGGGCCACCCCATCCAGGTGACCCCGCTTCACCCCATCACACTCTGAGGTCAGGGGACCGGAATTAGGGGTGCACTCCAAGTCCAGGCTCTTACTTCCCTGGCATCCCAGGCCGCGGTGGCACCCGGGCGTCTCGCCACCCTTCCTGGCCTCTGACCCAGAGGCCCCCTCCTGCTGTGCCCCTCACCGCTGTCCCCTCCGCAGGCCTTGCTGAAGATGGACTGCCAGGGCCTGGTGGTCAGGCTCATCCAGGACTTCGTGCTCCTGACCACGGCCGTGGAGGTGGCACAGCGGTGGCGGGAGCTGGCCGAGAAGCTCGCCAAGGTCTCCAAGCAGCAGATGGACGCCTACGAGTCTCCACACCGGGACAGGAACGGGGTCGTGGACAGCGAGGTGAGCGCACTTCGGGGCAAACATGTCCTGTGTAGCGTGGCCGTGGGGCACGCTGCCTCCGTCCCAGCATCCCTTGGGTGAGCGCAGGCTGTGCAGGTGGGGCCCGGGCTGCCAGGTCTGGCCCCGAACTGCCTTGGGCAGGCTGATGCACGCACAGGCCTTCTGCTGGCCCCAGCCAGGGTCTCCCTGCGGGCGGTGCGGGCATCACCGCAGAGTCTCTGGCGTTCCCGCCGCACGCCTGTCAGGAGAGCCTGGGGTTTCTCACGGGTTTGGGAGAGCCCCTCAAGGGGGTTTCTGGAAAAGACACGTAGGGAGCAGCAAGCCCCAAGAACAAGGGTGTCCTTGAGTTACTCGTCTACATGACGCGGGGCACGCCGCCGCGGGGTGCCTGGTGTCTGGGCTGGGGCGGCTCACGCTTCCTTGTCTTCTTCTTTGAAGAACACAGGAGACAGTGCCTGCCTGGGTTAGTCTTAGGTTCAGTGCCTGGGGTAGAGATCGTGGGGGCGGGGGGGGGGAGGCCCCGCGGGCAGCTCTGTCTGCCTGGGCCTCTAGCTCTTTTCTTGTGAAGAGTCTTTTCTTCCACCGGATATTGCACTTTCAAGCATTCCTCTACGTGCCCCTTTTTAAGACTCACTTTTAATGCTGGAAATAATCATTTTGCTGGCGTTGACCTGACGAGCTCTTCATCCTCAGCTGCAGTCGTTGAGCTGGCAGGGGTCAGCCAGATTGCCTCTCCCAGTTGCTAACATCCGGTAACTCTCTACCGGCGCTGTCCCTGTCGCTCCGGCCGGGTGTTTTCCGTCCGAGCCGCACGCCGTTGCTCCGAGCCGGAGCGGGTGCGGGCTCGGCCCTCCCCCAGCCCCTAACTGCGCTGTCCTTTCTGCGGCCCGCCAGGCCATGTGGAAGCCCGCCTATGACTTCCTCCTCACCTGGAGCCACCAGATCGGGGACAGCTACCGGGATGTCATCCAGGAGCTGCACACCGGCCTGGACAAGATGAAGAACCCCATTACCAAGCGCTGGAAGCACCTCACAGGGACGCTGATCCTGGTGAACTCCCTGGACATCCTGAGAGCCGCTGCCTTCAGCCCTGCGGACCACGGCGACTTTGTGATCTGAACGGGCGCCCACCGCTCCGGACGCTCCCGCCCTCTGTCCACGTGCCCGGCAGGGCCCGCGGGGCCGGAGGAGGAAACCTCGGCTGCCCAGACGGGTCCCTCCAGGCTGGACCCGCAGAGGACCAAGCCACCCCTCCCCCGCCGCCGCCGCCGTCTCGGGGAGTCCGAGAACTTGTGCAGGCTGTTGCCGCTCAGTTAGCTTTCTGCTCGCCGAGTGTGGATATAAATGGGGTTTTTGTTTTACGTCCGGGGTGGGGACTTTTGAGAAAGGTGGCGTCTGATTTTTTAATGCACCATGAAGGGTTCAAAAAATACTCCATAGGGGCAGATGCTGTTGAGGTTTTTGTGTTACATGAAGACCTTTTTAAATTATGTTGCCGATGTACATAGGTATTTAAGTGTCACTGGGGGCATTCTGGTGCCCAGCCACACCTTACATTTCAACCGGCAGGGGCGCTTGTTCGCGTGCTGGCCCTCTGTCCTCTGGAACGTCAGAGTGAATCAGAAGCAAATCGGTTTCCCGTAAATGAGTGAAGTCAGCCCGCCTCCTCTTTCTGAGAATGTTCTGGGTTTATCTACCTTGCTGTGGCCTCTGGCCTCCAGGTGCAGTCCACCGGTCCATGGCCGGCGCGTCTCAGTCTGACGGGAGACGCGAGGTGCCCCTGGCGTGAGAAGGCCGCCGGGAGGGGGCACACGCCATGCCTGTTCAGTCACTCAGAGCCACGCCCTCGGCAGGCGGGAGGCTCCGTGCCCACGCGTGGGTGGCCCTAAGGACTCTGTGGACAGGGGTCACGTCACTGGTGCCCGGGTGCTGCCCACAGGGCACGGGCTGCGTTCACCTGACTGTCCCCTCCTTCCTGGCATGCCCTGTCTCCTGGGGAGCACAGAGGAGGGGAGCCAGCCTCTTGTGAGACGGAGGACGGTCTGGGCAGGCAGGCCTCCTCTGGGAATGGCGCCGTCCTACGAGCTGGCCCGGGGCTTGCAGGGGCCGGCCGCCGGGGGGTTCTCCAGCTGCACTGTGGTTGTGGCCCAAGGGTGCAGGTATAGGGTCTGCGCTTCTGAGGGTCAGGGCTGGAGAAGCTTCTGGCAAACCCGCAGAACACGGCATCTCCAGACGTGCTCCGGGCGCCCTGCCATGTGCCAAGTGATGTGGGACCACGCGGGGTTCCTGAGCCTGGCGCCCTGAACCTGCTTCCCGGAAACCCGCCGTGACTTAGCCCCATCGTGGTGTCTTCCCTGCTGGCTGCAACAACCTCTGCCAGTCAGATGCTGAAGACCTACTGGGTCCAGAACAACAGCAGAAACAAAAGCTACTCTTTTATGCTGCGACAACCAAGACACACGGTTCCCCGACCATCACACGAAATCTTCTCCCCCAGAATCATCTCTAACCTCCCCAAAAAAGAGACAAGAAAGACCAGTTGCACCTTAAACCACGGATCTCTTTCCTCAGGGGCTTTAAATAGTTTCCTATGCAACCTGTGTTGTAGCACAAATTCAATCCTACAAACGTTGCAGTAAATTTTATTTGGATATTTTAACCTGGTCAGTGTGTGTGTTTTCTGTCCCCAACCAACTCTGAATAAAACGAAAACAAGACCTAGCACGAGCCCCTGTGTGTGAACAGCGTCCCCTGCCCCCAGGTGCAGAGTGGGGGCTGCCTCGGCAGGTGTTTGTCTTCGGGCTGCTGATTTAATCACCCTGGCAACGAGAGGCCTCTGTTGTGGTGCAGAGGCCCAAGGGTGCAGGTGTAGGGTCTGTGCTTCCTTCGCCCCCGCCTGGAGCTGCCCAGCCCGCAGCCCAGACTTATGGCAGGGTCATTTCTGGGTGCCCGCACAGTCCTCGCTGCTGGTTGCCGCAGGGACTCCGTGGGAGGCAGAGGCTGGCAGGGGAGCAGCGGGGGGAGGCATGGAAATCTTCCTTGGGAGAGTGACTTGAACCCAGGGTCCAAGGTCAGGCTGTTGGGGGGAAGGTGGTCCTGAACCAAGTCTACAGACACAGTTTTGAGGACTCCAGACACCAGAGCTACAAATCCAGGGAGGGTGCTGGGACCTGAGGTGGAGTTAAGCAGCCGGGTTGGCTATAAAACCAGACCCATGGGCTTGGGGGCGGGGGGGGTCTCCTGGCTCGCTTGACTCTTGGATTTTTGGCAGTTCTCAGCGTGCTGTGGGGGTTCCAGGTCGGCGGAACTGGTAAGACACATTAACCAACTTTTTTTCTTTTTCCTTGAGTTATTCATTTCCTCTTCTCTTTCAGATAAACCCTTAAGCTGCGTGTGTGTGAGTGTCTGCAGTGGAGTTATTACAAGGCCCTTTAAGCGCACGGGTGAGGACCCATTTTATATCAGGGCTGCCCTGTGACGGCCACACCTGGGGAACAGGGATGGAGAGGACTGAGCCTCCGCGGGGCTGGAACATGGCATGGACCCCAGTGTATTTGCACCCCAGCCCCACCAGCCCCTACCCTGAGCCACTCCAGGGCAGCCCCAGGACCCCCGAGCTGCCAGCAGCCACGGGGATTTCCTCCCAGGGCTGCATCACAGAGCACCGCAAACAGAACTTACTCTCGGAGTTACAGGGGGCAGAGTCAAAGTCTGGGGGTCCCGCGGCCGTCTCCCCTTTGTGTCTGTATCCTTAGCCCCTGCCCCGGTAAGCACCATACGCTGGTCAGAGCCCCTAAATAAGCTCTCATGACCTCAGGTTGGTGACACCAGAAAGACCCCACTTCAAAGGTCACGTGCACAGGCAGTGGGGCGAGGGGAGACCCAGGGGCCCCAGACCCAGGGGCAGACCCCTGAAGCTCAAGGAAGACGAGCACGGGCCCATGGGGTCAGGAGGGGTCAGGAGAGGGTTCACAGGGGCAGCGCTGGGCGTCCGGCGGGGGGAGCCGCCCCAGGTGTGGGCGCTCGAAAGGCCACGCGAGGGCAGGAGCGTTTCCTCCTGGACACTGACGGCGCAGCCGGCCTCGGACACCCCAGGTCACTGTCATCCCACGGTGCCCACATCTGGCGAGGACCTGATGGTGTGAGGCTCACGCTGTGAAGAACACGAGTCCGGTGGCGCTGCACCGACGGTCCTCCGGAAGGACGGCGGGGTGGGGCGGTGGGGCGGGGCCCCCGGGTCTGCCCAGCAGAGGTGAGGCTGTTGGGGTGCCAGTCGGGTGGGCCAGGCCGCAGAGGTGGGCGGCACCGGCTGAGCAGAAGCTTGGACCGTCCCAGAGCACCGGTCAGACCCCGCTGCTGAAGGCCCGAGGGGGGCCCCAGGCCGGCTTTTGGCACATTGGGAGACCCCAAGGCCACGAGGGGGGCCGGTCGGGCCTGGGCCCCTGGATTCACGAGTGGGCCCACTGGAGAAGGGAAGGGAGGCCTGCCAGAGCTGGTGGGAGGGGAATCGGTGAGACAGTGTGGGGGGACAGTGCCCGGGGCCTTGCGTCCTGCAAGGTGTGAGGCGCAGTGCGAGACTCAGGCCGAGGGTGGCAGGCGCGGGCGGGCGCCACCCCCAGCCCGTGGGATCCACCGGGAGCCTGATTCAGCCTGGCGCTTCCCCGGGGCGTGACCTGGCGGCCACCGCCGGCATCCTCCAGCCCCGGGACGGCCTCTGAAGGACAAGCCCCGGCCCCGTCCTGCGGGGCCCGTTTGAAGCCCCAGCCCCAGCCCTGGCTGTCCCAGGCACCCTGGGGCCCCGCCCCCGGCCGCAGTCAGGTAACAGCCAGCTGCCCAGGTCAAGCCCTGCGGTTCTTCCCAGCCGCGGTCCGTGGCTGACCCAGGGGAGCGGTGGGGCGCTTTAGTGCCTTTCTTGTGAGTGAGGTGTCGGTAGACAGACCTGCAGCCCTCAGCCCTCGGGCAGTCAGACCAGGGCGGAGGGAGGACGCCGCGTCCCCCACGCACTGGGCCGGCCCGCGGGGGGGGCCGCAGTGCCGATTCGCTGCTTCTGGAGAGCCGGGCGCCTCGAGAAAGCTGCTGCTATATTCGGAGCCCAGAAAGCACAGAGGTGCCGTTTCCTGCCGCTCGGCATGGTGCGGTCAACCGCTGGCCTCTGCTCAGAGGTCAGCCCCTCCGGGCGGCAGAGTCCCCAGGGCGGCCGTGGACGCAGGCGGGCCCCTGGCCACTCATGTGGGCCGGCGGCACCTTCCCGTCAGACCAGGTGGTCCTCAGCCCCCCGCCCCCTGCGGGGTAAGGCGCAGACGTCAGCCACTGCCGACCACTGTTGCCTGCGACTAATCCCGGGTTCCCGCGGCTTCCTCGGGTGCTGCCCCACGGCCACTCTCGGGCGTCTCCTCGCGTGTGTTGCGGGCGATCGGTCCTGCCTACAGCCCCCTCCACGGATGCATCGGCCCTGGGGTGCAGCGCGGGGCGCAGCTCACCCAGTAGGCGGGTGTGTGTGTGGGGTGGGGTGGGGGTGGCCAGGAATGAGCAGCAGCCGCGCTGGGGTGCAGCGTCTGGGCCGAGGGGTCGGCCGCGGGGTGCAGCCGCTGGGATCGCTTCGTTGTTATCAAGCAGACAAGCTGGTGGGGTACAAGTCCTTCCCGGGTCTCCCTAGGACGCGCTCTCTGCTGTTGGGCCCCCGGTCTCGCCACTGTAACCCCGAGTAGGCTTAGCTCAGTAGGGCTCACACTTGGGAATAACAAGTGTTTGCTTCATTTTTCCACCTATTTATTCTAAGCTCCAAGTGCAAAATCAGTTCACACCCAAGGTGCGATTGCTCACACCTGGGTGAGACAACAGGTGCTCTCCGTGACATCTAGGGCCTCGGGTGAGCACCCTGACGTCACAGGCTCCCTGGGAGTGGCCCTGATGCCCTTGGGGGTAGGGGGCTGGAGGTTACCTAGCAACACCACCACCACAGATTGCCCGGAGGACCGGAAGCGGGAGGGCAGAGTGCTCGCACTCAGGCGGAGAGAGGCCTGCAGCATGAGGAATTTCTAGCAAAATCCAGGCTGACAAGCCAGCTTAGGGGCACGCCTGTGCCAGCAGCCCCGCACGAAGGCACGTTGGTTCTTTGTACAACTAGAGGGTTCTGCAGACTGCAGTGGTGTGTTCCCCAGCCCGGGGAGTCGGGTTCCAGCTCTCCAAGGCCTTCTGCAAAACACCTCTCACCACCCTAATTATCACCTCTTCCCCGTGAGAGATGCAATGAGAAGAAAGAAACGGGGAGGGATGTGCACCAAGGAACTCAGGGTAACTCGACCTAGTTATGTTACAGGGCAGGGAGAGAGGGGCACCCCTGAACCCCCAAACCTGCCTGCTCTGAATAGGTTCTGCTATCTGCTGCATCAATACAAGACATAAGAGTTTTAATGGAACGTTAATACAGTGAGTGCACAGCACAGAAGACAGAGAATATAATTTGTAAATCAGACACCGAAGTGACCCGTCCCCTTGCGGGCAAAAGCCCACCCAAAGGGATGGCCCGGAGCCAGGGCTGGACGCTGCCCCAGGGCAATAGCACCTTCTGGCCGGGACCCATAGAGAAGGTCGGAAAGGGCCAGACAAGCCAGGGAGGAAAAGAGCACAATCCAATGAAGATGAACACTGCTCTACCAGCCTCCCTGCGGGCCTCGCACCCACGTCTGTCTCAGCCAGCCCAGGCCAAGAAGCGAGCACGTTTTCTGCTCCCTGTGGCTTTCTCTGCTCACTGTGGCTTCCTCAGGCCTCCTCTGGCTGCATCCTGCTTCCTTCCTCCTCAGATTCCCTCTTCTATTTTCTCTGCTCCGCTCCACCCTCCCTCCGGGTGGGGCCGGAAACCTGGAGCCTCCCCTTTTCCTGGGGACCCCCGGGTTACAGTCAGAGACCACTGCGCAGAGCCCGGCGACTCTCGCGGCCCCTGGGGCCTGGGGTCCAGCTCTCAGCCAAACACACGGGGCCCGCTGTGGCTGCGGCGCAGAGCTGACCACCTTCCCAGCTGCCCCCAGTCACCCGGCATCCTGCCTAAGAGATGGCAGAAGCCCCCGAGGCCAGGAGGCAGCCCCACACGCCTGGCCCTTCTGCGGGCAGTGCACTCCCACGGTGGTCTGCCAGGCGCCCCTGGACGCTTTACTGGCAGCTTCCCGTGTTTGTAAGCTTCGTGCTCACGTGGCTGTTTTGCAGGTCAGTCAGATGAGAACACCGGGTCGGAGTGTCCCTGTTATTTAGGGCTCCCCTCCACGCCACCCCAGCTCTGGGCGGGAGTGTGGTAACCCGCCCAGCACTCGTGCGAAAATGAAAGAATTCGACTAGTTCAGTTCTTTGCTTTTAAGCCACGTCATCGCCACGGCCACCTGCCTGTTCAGCCCTCGTGAGGCTCAGCAGGGGGCAGGGCCAGGAGTCCCCCTCATGCCGTGGGGGCGGGCTCAGCGCTGACTGGCCCTGCGCTGACCAGCCCTGCGCTGACCGGCCCTGCGCTGACCGGCCCTGCGCTGACCACGCCCTCCCCACTGGGGAGCGCGGCGCGAGAGGCCCGGTGACCGCTCATGGCCAACTAGCAGCCACGCACGGCCCCGGGCAGGGGCCTGGGTGGCCTCTGGGTCCCCGGACACCTCGGCCATGCAGGCACCGGCTTCTCTCCCTGACACTCTCGTTCACCTCCTGCTGAACTTCAATTGAGCCATTGTTG